CATCAGTCAGATTAACAAAAGGGTAGTGTTTGAAGGCAGTTTGGTATGACAATGCCAGGTATGCCGAGCCACTGGAGCACACTATTATAATTTATAAGGCCTTTTTGGGACGTGAGATCACTTAAGTTCAAAATGAAAGAAGTCAAAGAAAAATGTCTCTACTCCCTGGAAAGTGAACATGTTAGTTCAAGTCTCTCTTTTTTAAGGCAGATGCATAGATATCTTTTTTCTTTTTCAAAATAGTATTTTAGCTATCCTTCTGTTTATTAAAAAATATGCAAGAGATAATAGGTGGTCCCCAAGAGTATAGAGTTTTTTTTAAAGCCTGAGTATAATTTGTTGTTTTACACTTTTATATAAGAGACGAAAAAATTTTGATACTCCTGTATTTCAAGTAATAACGATAAAAGTAAAATAAAGTCATGGAAAATACATGTAAAAATTTTTGCCAAACTTAAAATTGAAGCCTAGTATGTAATTTAGCCAAATGGAAATGTAAAAAGATGAGCTAATTATGGTATGGTATATATCTAGGTACTGTACAAGTTTCAATGTCTGGATAATCTACCTATGTAAAGTCTAAAACAGCGATGAAGAGCCTTTCAGTGATAACAAATGGCCCACTGCAGCATGAGTGCCCTAGGGTTGTCTCCCTCCCCTCTCCCCCTTCCCCTCCCCATGAAACAATGTAGAGACTTACATAGCATAACAGGAAAGTGGGATCACAAAAATTGCAAAGAAAGGCTCTGTCTAAGTATTTAACAATGGATGAAGTTTGATTTTGGCTTTTGAAAGTTTAAACAAATTCCAAATATAATCTCGTAGGACAAACAATGCCTTAACCCGAACTAATAGCTCTAATAAGACTTTCTTACTATTGACTGTGAGGTGCATGGAACTTGACTACAGGGGTATGTTGGGGTGATCAACCTTCCTATATGTGTTGGTCTGCACCAATTCAAGCAACATGAAGCTTGCAAAAACTTTTAAATCCAGTATGAGCTGGAAATCCTATGGTCTGCTTTCCTATGTTTTAGTGACACCTTAAATCAAACCAGCAAGGCACTGTGCATGGTTTTTTTTTTTCAGTATAGGGAATCGAACTCACGACTTCATGCTTTTCAGGCAGGTGCTGTGCTGCTGAGCTACAGCCCCAGCCCCAGGCACAGTGCTTTGGACTTGGCTGTATAATTACTTTCATTGAACATTTTTACTAAGTTCATTTCTTGATAGCATAATTTTCTTTTTTTTAAAAACAAGGTAGTAGCCACACCTGTAAATCTTGACTGAGTTTAGTAATTACTAGCTATACAAAACGCCTTATGTTTAATATTTGGAAAGTTCAAGTAAGCAAACAAATGCCTTCAGGTTGGGTAATTAATGGATTCTCTCTTTTTTTCCCAATTGCTGAATTCCCAAATTAATTCTTTTCTACAAAAATGGGACTTCTACAGAGTTACATCTGATTTTAAAAATTCTTTTTCAACTTGGACTAGTGATTTCTAACTCCACTTCCTTAAGAGGATTGTATAGAGACTAAGTAGTATCAACATGGAAAACCAAAGGTGAGCCATCAATGGGTTATAATCTGCTTCCTGGTCATCCAACTTCCTTTTGGCATAAATGACTACTTGTCATTTTTGAGGTAGATGATATCTAGTGATTGGAAATAATCACTTTCTGAAAGTATACATGACTCCAGATTCATAACACCGAAACGATGTTCATGAAATTTTATATCTGCCAAGGATAACACTAGTTATGTGCAACACTCAGCATGACCGGCTCCGCTACCATCACCTTCATCTGGCAAAAGAATGACCTTAAAAAAGGGGGACTATACCTTGACCTTTGGATATTACGCTGCATTTTAAAACATTCATTTTTGCAAAACTGAAAACCCTGGAAAAGCACATAAAAAGGAGTAAAATCATGTTTTCATTAAACTGTTAAGAAATAGGCAGCTGGCTAAAAAGACATATTTATGAAATAGTGTATCAAAAAAAATCTCATGATATTATTTAGATTAGTAGAAGCTGCATGTAATTGACATAACACATTCAAAGGCACAGTTGATTTTAAGATTGAAACAATACAGATCTCATCCCTTACCAAAAAATGTTCTCAGTTTTAGGTAATGATAAACTGTACTTGTTGAAAAACATACGTGGAAAAAGAAACAATTTTTATACAAATATGACTCGTGTAAGTATTCATTTATTCTAATCCAGCTGACCATGGTAAATGAGTTTGGTTTACTGGGCATAAGTATGCAATATTTAAAAGTGGTGATCTTTATTAAAAGAGAAGGGTCCTCAAACTTCATGATGATGTCAAGAATATAGGTCCTTGGAGCACATTAATTGTTTTAAGTGGAGGTCCCCACACTTTCACATTGGTTATAAAACATTATTTTGTGCTGCTGGCCTGGAACGAGAATGTCATACATCTGCAGGCAATTAGAAGAAGCTGGACTGATGTTTGATTAGCTCAATAATAAACGGGCACAAGTGTGACTCGACTTATGTTAGTCAGATTCCCAAGACAGATTATCGTGTCATTATCATATGAAATAACCCCTTTTATCAACAATTAAGTAAATCCACATTTATGGGCACTTTGCAAAATTGTGTGGTGGGAAGAAATCCAACTTAAGCCTTAAGTCATCCAAAAAAACTTTTAACCCTGCTCTCAGTGGTACAGACCCCAATCCCAAATTTTGGAAATTGGCTGAATTATACAGAATAGTTTGGGTTGGAAATATTCTGTGCACAATAAACAAGTATATATTTACATTTTCCATAAATAAGGTATTAATAAGTGTACTTTATAAGTTTAAAAAATTCCTGAAAATTGTTTTAATATGTGAAAAGAATCTTTGTAAAGTAGCCTAAATATTTTCAAGGAAAGTTAAACAGGATTTCATTTTCAAAATTCATACTATAGTTTGTACTATCATCAATGTGTGCTATAAGTCTAAAATGTACTTTATTATAGAACTCCTTCATTAAATTCTAGGCTTTGTTGTTTAATGCAACAGTAAGAATCTCTGAAGGATTAGTAACTAACTTGGTAAATGGACTATTTATTTTTCTGTCTTTTTCCCCTTCCAAGTATCATTAAAATATATAATAGCCGAAGAGTTAAAAGTAATGCAGAATGTAAAAATATTACTTCAAAAATTTCAGGAAAAAATTTAATTCCAGAATAAATCACCAAACTTTCTAATCTAATTATATATTTAAATAAAATAAAAAGTTGGTATATCTTAAATAAACTCAAGTTATTTTTCATCAATATTTACCCACACATGTATATGTGACATAATACAGCTATTATGTCAGTCCATCTTCTTGATATACCCCTTAAATTAGATATCAGAATATCAAGCAGATGCTGAAGCATTCATCATCAATATTGGAATTCTGAGTCATGACATAACACAAAACAGATGCTCGTATGATGCTCCCTCTGAAAAGTGATACCATTATGGCACGAATTAGCTCTTGATGTGGGGTTAACTTAAAATGTGCACATAAAATATGAAATAATAAACATTATGTACTGCAAACATACACAAAAAATAAAAGTGAAGGGGATCAAGAGATGGCTGGAGGCAGAGGAATGAAGGGAAGAGGATCATAAAAGGAATTAAGAAGTGTTATGTACATATACCAACTTCCCACAAGGAATGTAAACATTATGTCCTACACACATGGCTAATAAACTCAAATAAAAAAGAATGAAATTGAATAAAAGTCAGGGCATGACTCCACTTCTATGCCATTTAAAATGTAGTGTCTATACAGAAGATACAGCACTGGGAATACAGTGTTGGGGGGCAGTATTCTAAGACACTAAAAGATGCATTGTACTTGGTACAACAGTTACATGACCCCAATTGTGTGTGTGTGGTTTGGGGTGGGGAGGACGCTCTCCCTCATTCACAACCAGCTAAACTTCAGAGCTCCTGGGCCCTTTTCATTGGCCCAGCCAGCCCCTGATAGTGTGAGAGGAGTTTGGGGGCTCTTATGGTCTCATCTCAGTTACACAATCTCCTCACAGGCAGCTATGAAAGGGTTTGCTAAAAAAGGACAAGGGAAGCAAAATCCCTTTGCACAGTCCAGTTAGCTAATATCCTACATGTCTTCAAAGCTTGAGATTCTTATCACTTTGCTAGCATGAGTCTACAGCTGTTTTTAGAATACACAGTGATATGTACTCCTTGTGAAAATAAACAGAAAGGCCCAGGCAGACGGTGCCATGGTGCAAGTGATATAAGCAAAATGTGCTCAAATGAAAGCTTTAAAAAAGATACAAATGTGAGCAGTGGGGATCCTCTCCAAGGTAATGATAAGCAGGAGCCCCATTTTTTTTGTTTTTAAATTACTCATGAGTGCATGAGGGAAATAAATCAGTGGCAAGTTCATTGATAGGAAAGCTGGAGAAATCAAAGGGAGACATTTATGGAGTAGTTCAACAGCACAGTTTCAAATTCCAAATGAGCAACTTGACTGCTATTTCTGATCACTGTGACTCTGACACTCCTTTGCATGGGTTTGAAATGCAGCTCTGTATTTACCACCTGTGTGACCTCTAGTTCTCAAACTTGGCTGCATGCTGGGACCACACGGAGACCTTTAAAAAATACTGGTGCCTGAAATCCACCCCCTGGGACAGTTACTTAATTGTCCTAGGGTGTGGCTTGAGCATTGAAGAGTGTTAAATGTTCCTAAGTGACTATAAATAGGGCCTGCTAAGATTTAGAAACAATAATGAAATTTCTGAGCCCTCCACAGTTTCCTCATCTGCAAAATGACAATGATAGCAACTGCTTTTTAGGATCACTGCAATGATTAAATATGCTAATGAAGACAAACCACTTAGCGCAAAGTCCCGCACAAGGGAAGCCCTTGATAAATGTGAGCTCTTATCATTACCATCACCAGGAGATGCATTTGGGTGACAACTATCTTGTTAGAATAATTTGTCATACTCACCTTGACACAAGTTATGCTCACTCTGCTCATAGCCTGCTGGACACTGGATCCGGTGGGAAGGGATGGAGGGCATGCGCTGAGGGTCAGCTGGGTTCCTCCGGATGACAAAGTTATTTCGGCCAGTCTGCACTTCAGGGCCTACGACTGCTGCAGCACTGGCCACAAAACCACCCCCAGGCACCACTGCACTGGCTGCCATGCTGCTGGCAGAAACACCCCCAGTGGTTGCACCCGAGGAGGCTTCAGCGGCTGGTGTTTCTTGCTGAGGCTGAGGTTGTTCATTGTTGACAATAATTTGGGCTGTTTTAGGAAGGCAGAGGTATCCTCCATAGTGGTTGACACATTTCATTCCACCTTTGCAAGCATCTGGGACAATGTCACATTCATCAATATCTGTGGTCAGTAATAAAAGAAGTCAGCAGTCTTCTTAGGGGAAAATAGGACATCTAAATACATGCACATGCCTTTAGGGTTCTTACAAACAAGATGAGAAGAACAACAGGAGAGACGGAGACACAAAGCTGTGTTCGGATGGGAAGACGGGAGCTGGCTCACCTTTGCATTGCTGACGTAGAGGGTCCCACTCATACCCATCGGTGCATTGCTGCAAAGAAAACACCAGAGATGGAGTCAGGAGAAAATGAACTGCTTAAGAAGTCACTCTAAAAGCTTAATTCTTACACCACTAATCCTCATGCTCGAGTCCTAGATTTATGATGAGATGTGTAGTTTAACATTTTTTGATTGTTCTCATTTTTAAGGGAAATCTGCGTATTGGGTAGCTTCTTCAAGAGTCCTTCCTCACTCATCAGCAGCCTCAACTCTAACCGCTGCACTTAGTTGCCCATTATTACCACTTTGGAATTATTTTCCCTCTCTCTCCCTTTAGACAAATGGTTTCCAACCTCTCTGATTGCTCTTTTATATTTGTTTCTTTGGTTTTCCACATTGTAAATTCTACCTCAAAAGAAAAAACATTTAACCAAGTTTTTTCCTTTTGGTTTGTCTAGCACTGAGCTCTTCCCTAAGTCCTCTTGTCTCTCCTGACCATTCTTTGCAAACTCTCATACCCGCTCCGCTTCCTACCTTTAGTTCCCCTGGACCTCGCCTAGTTCCTCACTACACAATCACCTATCAGGCGCCTTCTCTCATGAGCCACTGCCCAGACCCTCAGGATGGAAGATGGTAAGGAACTGGCCCCACCCTCAAGCAGCTCATGAGCTCATGAGCTAGAAGACAGGTAGACAAGCTGGTGGGAGATGTCCATGGTGTGTGTGAAAGCGGTGAGGAACCCGTCTGCAGCTGTGGGCTGGTCCTGACAGACAGGAAGGGAAGGCTTTGGAGGGAAGGTAGCAAATGAATTGGGCCTCACACAACCGGCAGGAGGTTTTTCCCCAGGGATGTGAGGGAGGGGAACAAGGGCACACAACTGTTGCAGGTGAAAAGAGCTACAAGTAGTTCTGGGTGGTGGACAGAGTTAAGAGAAACGGCCAAGGCCAAATCCAGGAAGCCTTTCCCTAGGACACGGAGGAACCAGATTTTACTCTGAAGGTTAATGAATCTCAAGATTTAGCATATGCATAGGGTCATCCAAGGTATGTGTTAACATGCTCACCCTAAGGATCTGATTCTGTAGGGCTGTGTAGGAGGCCTGCAGTCTCGATGCCTAACACGCATCCCAGTGATTTCTATATAGGCCATCTGTGGCCATATCTTGGGAAATGTTGCTATATGTGACCACAGGCCCCGGAAGAAATCTGCAGTTTGGGAAATAATCTTGATTAGATGTTCATTTGAGAAAGTCACAGTGAGAAGTTGCCTCAGGAAGAACAGTGCAAAAGTGGAGTCAACAGCCTTACATTGCTTTAATAAACTGTATGCTTTAGTAAACTGTATGTGACTAGCTAATGTCAGAGAGATCTGTTTAGGTGTTTTACTGATACCTAAAATTTAACAAGGTGAAAATAAAATCAGTGTTCTCTCCAAGACTAACTCTTTTTCTTTTTCTTTTCTCTGACACCATCCAAGGCCCTACTACCTTTCTCCAAACACAGGAACATAATCTCTGACCTCTCTATTTTCCCTCAAGCGCATCCTACTCGTGTTCATTTTTACACCCATTACATTGGTGTGAGCCTTCTTGGCTTCACGTGGCAGCCAGGCTCTGTCTCTTTACATCCTGCACATACCAAGCCTTTTGTTCTTTTTTTCATGGTTGAATTGCTCCTGCATCGATGAGCTCATAGTTGCTTACAGACCTCTGTCTGCCTGCATTATCATCTTGAGGTTCTTTTTGCCTCCAAGCTCCTTGTCAAGCCCTGGACTTGTCTTGGTTTTCACCCTGGTCTTAATATCACCCTTTCTGCCTCAGGCGCCTCTTTGATCTTTTTAGATCAACTTTGAGGTCATAACCTCCTTCAAGAACTGCACAGAGTTCTCTATCCTCTGATATGCCAGCACTGACATTAATTATCTCTTTGTTTTTCTACTTCTTTAGCAATTTGTATAATCTGGATAATAGTATTATCTGTACTTGCTTTGAAATTTTGTAGTTTTCAAACAGTGTTTTCCAGTGTAAATTCCCTGAGGCAGACAGCTGAATCTTCCGTGTAAACAAAGTCTTTGGATAATGATGAGAGTTGTTCATGCAGACACGTGAAGGGAGCTGAATGAACCTTATCTTTACTATGGAATAGAAATATGAGGCCTTGAGGATATAACTCCAGCCTTCTGAAAAGTATTTTCAAAACTAGGCAAAAGTGGCAGTTCATTTGAATCGTTTGTATTGCACATAGAGAAGATGTACTTTAAAAAGTCTTTTAAAGGTATTTAGGTTCAGTGCATTTAATGTGGGTCTTCTGTTAAACAAGTCTACACTTAATTTTTCTTCACTACTTGCTGGCTCTGAACCTTAAGCAAGGTAGACACTCTCTGATCTTCAGTTTCATTATCAACAAAAGGAAGATGATGCTCCTTATCTCACACTGCAGTGAGGATGAAGGGATATAACGGATCCACAGTGGGGCACTCAAGACCCCAATAGTTATATCTTATCCTTTAACCATGAATTATTATGCATCCACAATTCAAAAAAGACCAAATTTGATCTTAGCACAAAAAGGGTATCATACATCTCAAAAATCTGCTACAATATGAGTGACCCTTAGTAGTTTTAAAACTTTAGTGCTTAATTCACAGGAACTTTCTCTGCTAAAATGAGTAAGATTTATGTAGTCAGTAAAAAGAAGAGGGCATAAGATTAGCAATTGTAAAAGCAATAAAACCTGTTGTTAGATGATTATAGAAGCAAATAGCATATTTAATTTTGGATCCCTGAGAAGGTGGTAAGTTTGGCCTGAATGACAAAACATTTTCATTTGCAGGTAAACAGCACAGACATTCATTTTCTCGCTTTATTTAACTTCATCAGAGGACGCAACTGCACTCAACATTAACAAAATATTTATATTAAACTTTCATTTATGGTTGACCTGAATAACGGAAACAAATATTTACCAGATGATACTAGCATTCAAGGGATAACATGATATCAAACAGTGAGATAATGTTTATTATTAGCAATTGACATTAGTTCACTTTCAAGTGTTTTATTTTCAAAATATCTTACATTCTTTTGAGTAGGGTTACTTAATTTTCAAAAATTGGGGACAAGTAGAAAAAATATGTTTTTCACATTTTGATCCATGACCAATATCATTTATCTCACAACACTAATTACAAACTAGAAACATAAAGCAGAAGTGCAAACAGCACCCGTGAGGGAAGCACTGTCCTGCTGTGCTCTCACCACATGTATTTTTGGGGACTGGGATAAGTCTGATGCTATAGTAAATATGTTATAAGTATTGGTTATACTCATGTAGTTAACTAATGAATCAAACACTTGGAAATATCAGAGATGCTAGTACAAGACGCAAAACACTGCATTTTAAATCCATTTTAGCAAATAATACATCCTGGTAACACATAAACTGTATGTGAAGGGAATTTATACGAGTTGTACTAGAAATGAATGTATAATCTTTTAGATTCAATAAAGGCAGCTCCCACGCAAACAAGTTACATGCACAAATGGGGTGCTATGCTTACCTGATGTTTAACAACCTTATTTGACATCAGCGTTAGTCTGCATGTATTTATTTCATCTACATGGACTCCTCTAGGAACTCCAGCTTCCCAATTCCTTACACCCACTAATTTATTGAATGTATTAGAAATATACGGCTTACTTTTAGTTTTACAGGCTTCCCTCTTTTGGCCTTGCGCACAAATTATTACATGTGGGTCCTTATCAATCAGTGATGTAAATGAACTTTTTAAAGCATGGAGTGCAGTTAACAATGCATCGTAAATGTGAGCCATTCTAAAACTTGTTTACTGCCCTTTGCATCCACTGGCAGAGCTGGAAAGGTTCCTTATGCCATAGAATTCTCCTGAACGCACTTATCTCAAATTCCATCACCCCTTACCGTGTATGTGATGGTTTCTTCGGTGTCTTGTGCCTTAACCAGCGCCAGAGTTAGCATAGTTAAGAAAAGGACTTTCCACATCGTGAATCTCAAAGAAAAAGCAAAGCAAATCGATGGTTAGTATCTGCTGAAGGGAAGTAACAAAATTTCAGCAGTAACAGGCAAGGAAGAGTGGAGAGCCCAAGGCACTTGGCACCCAATTTCAATTCCCTGTCTCCTCCACAACCTTTGCCACAACTACCAAGGAGGCACGAAAGTCTGAGACGAGGCAGCAGACTGCATTTCGTTTCATTCCATCCACACCAGTACAGAGGACATTCACCATGCATTTAAACTGTACCTAACCAACAGGCTCCGGAAAAGGGGAGGCCACGGGAGAGAGTGTAAACAATTTCAAAGGCCACGTTTGGGTCAGAAGCGAGGCGGTCAATTTCTGTTCCCTGGAACATTAAGGATTTCCCTGTGTGCTCACCTCCAGCCAGTGACGTTTCTAGCGCAGCTCAGCAAACGTACCTGCGGGCCAATATCAACTATACTGCCTCAAACTTTTAAAAAACAAAACAAAACTTGGAGAGCAAACGCCTCCCAGTTCTACAGGACACTCGTTTCCCGGACCCCTCTAGCTTCTCGCGTCCTCCTGCAAAACTCAGCGCATCTCGGTGATGTTCTCGGCACACGGCTGTTCCACAGCTCAGGGTGTGCACAGGAGCCGCCCACGCGTCTTCCTATCCGCCCCTGGCCACCCTCAAGCTCCGGCCCGGAATCGTGCCCTCACCGCCGCCCGGGCACCAGTTCCGGGTGGGCAGGCTGGTGCCCGGCGCGCGTCGAGCTCTTCTCCCTGAACCCCGAGCTGAGCGGCAGCTGTCCGCCGGAGCTGCTCAGCACCCCGCTCCTGGAGAGCTTCCGCGGAATCCAGGTGCGGTTTAAAGCTCGCGCGTGGGTCCCTTGAAACTTTCAAAACCACGTTTACGAGTCAAGCTCTGCGGGTTGGCACGGGGCGCGCATACACTTGCGGATCCAACAGATGTCACCCGAGCCCTGGCACCAGCTGACAGATCGCGTTCCGAGACCACACACCTCCACTTCCCCTCGGCTTGCACGGCCGGGCAGTTCCCGAGCGCCCGCACCCTCGGTGCACCCCACCGCCCTCCGGCGCCCGGCGACCCTGCCTCGGGGCTCCTACCTGCGCCGGCGCGCTGCGCTCCGGCCGGGCAGCTGGGGACGTGCGCAGGGGAAGGCAGCCCGGTGGGTCTGATCTGGCGAGGAGAAGGAGGAGAAAGGGAGGAAAACGGGGAGGGGAGGAGGGGCGGAGGAGAGAGGCGAGGGAGGCGCAAGCGCTGAGCCGCGCTGGGAGCCGGGGGAGAGCGCTGTGCACAGCTCTGTCCTGCTTCTGCAGGGTCTGCCGTGCCCTGGCCTGCCAGCAGACCCCGAGTTCTCTGTCGCACCAGGATGCCAGGCTGCAGAGGGCATGTTGGGGGTGAGATGTCCTGCCTTTGAATCAATGTCCTGCCTGGTGATGTTCCAAGTTCCAGGGCAATGTTTCCTGTCTCAAGAGGCAAACGTCTTTCTTAGAGAGCTTCTAAGGGTCCCCAGAAATGACTGACACTATTTTTTTCCCACTAAGTAAGCTCTAGGAGATTAAATTAACTCTAGTCACAGAACTGGTCCTTTCAGATATTGGAGGTGGGGGGGTCAGGATGGGAGAAGCCTTCTTTCTCAAATGGAAAAAAATTGAGAATTTATGTGCTCATTCAACAAAGATTTGTGGCCTGTTATGTGTGAGATACTGGGAATGGGCCGAGTGTAATTCACGTTAACAAAACTGTGACGAAAAGGGTGTTGTTTTTATAGTCTCTTATCCCTCTCAAAAATGTAGTTTTTCTTCTCTGCACCGCTTCAGTTGCTGGAGCCCTCAGTACTGCTCAAAGCTGATCATTTGGCTTTTTACCTTCCACACGAATGGGTGGAATTTCAGGAATCTGAGGAGAGAAAAGATAATGTTTTTCTAGCATCATCAAATCATACCACAGAGATTTCAGGTATCTCTCAAAAGTCAAACTCTGTCTTAGTTGCTTTTTTCTTGTTGCTGAGATGAAATACCCAACACTCAAAGTTAAGGAAGAAAAAGTTCACATAGCTCGCAGTATGTGGAGGTTTCAGTCCATACTAGACTGGTTCTAAGGCAGAGTGGCACATGGCAGAGGACAATAGTTCACAGTGGCAAAATACAGCAAAATCAACAAGAGCAAAAAGAGAGGAGCATGCAGAAGTCTCTTTTTGTATGCAGGTACCCACCAGGGTGTGTGTAGTGCTCACACCCCTAATCCCATCACTATACAATGAATCAGTCACAGTCTCTAGATTCATCCCTCATGACTGCATGAGGCTTTGGAGGGACATCAAGACACAAACCACCATAGCATTCTGTTCCTGGCCCCCCCCCAAAACTCATGAACATTGCTTTATGCAAAAGGCATTTTAGTTCACCTCTAAAAGATACCAAAGTCCTAACAGTTTCAGCATTGCTGAAAAGTCTAAGTCCCAAGTCTTTGGCAAGATCTAAGGCAAACTCTTAGCAGTGAGTCCTGGTACTAATGAAAAGAAAGTTAAGTACTTCCAACAATCAATTACACAAGATAAACATTAGCATTCCAAAAGGTACGTTTGGGGATACAAAGGATTGAGGCCAAAGTGAGTCCACTGGGGCAAATATTAAGTCCTATAGTTTCATAGCAACATCCAACACAACCTGTGGCAAGCTGTGAGCTTCAAAACGTTTAGGTGGCTCCTCTCTGGCACTTCCTGTGGTTATAGCTCCCATGGCTACTCTCTTGGGCTGGTTTTGCTCCTTCCTTGCAGTTTTCCTCAGAGGATCCATGTTTCTGGGGTCTCCAAACTTCTGGAGTCTCCACTACACATTCACAGCTTGACACATTGCCCTCTCAGGGGCACACTGCTTGGCTCCCAGGACTTGTTCTGAAATCTTGGTGGAAGCCTTTTAAACATCATAACTCTTGCATCTTGCACGCTCCTAAAAGTAGCACCATGTGAATGATGCCAAGGTCTGCTGCCAGCTGTAGCAGTAGCCAGAATTTATCCTGTCTTGGCTGTAGGAGTTGAGTGCCTGAATCTCTGAGTCCTCTGAATCCAATTCTGAGGAACAATTTCTCTAGGCTGCCACCATTTTGGAACCTGGTGTGGCTGCTGCCATCATTCTGGAACATAGTATTCTGTGGCTTTCTTTTCAAAGCAAAGTCTTTCACTTTTGCAGTTTAGAGTTTGCAGAGTGGAGATTTGCTGTTTCTTCTGATGCCCTTAGGCAACTGAGATCTCCTTAGCTCTATCTTGGCAGTCCAAAGTTTTACTAAAGCTTTTCTCCTGGCCAAAGTCACATTTTAAATCATCCTGCTGGGCTCTCTGCTCCTGATTCACAACATAAATCTGGCTAAAAGCCCCCAACAATAGCAATACCACTGCCTCAACTTAGACTGCTTGAAATGTCTTCCACCATATTAACTAGTTCACTGTCTTTAATCTCAGTGTCAGGCAAAATATTTGGACACAAGCAAAATGCAGACAAACTTTCTGCCAAGCCATAATTCACATCATCTGGAGTCCAACAGCCAATGCAGTCTGTCTTCCAAGCAGAAAATTCTTGAGCCTGGTGCTTGAGCCTGGATTTCTGGTCTTCTGAGCTCTGACCAGAATCTCCCATACAGAACACTACTAGATGCCTAATAGATCTGGCATCTCAGATCTACTCTTTCAGGTGACATCTCCAAATCTTTGTAAACTGTCCCCACAAACCATCACCAAAGGCTCCTGAACCATATGGTCAGGTACAGTAACAGTGATGACCCCACTTCTCTGGTACTAAATTTTGTCTTAGTTACTTTTTTCTCATTGCTGGGACAAAAATACCAGACACCCAAAATTAAGGAAGGAGATGATTATTTAGTTCACAGTATATGGAGGTTTCAGTCTATAGAAGACTGGCTCCAAGGCTGCGCGGCACATGGCAAAAGACAGCAGTTCGTGGTGGCAGAGGACAACAAAATCAACAAGAGTGAAAATGGAGAAGCATGAGAGAAAACTCTTTTTGTCCCTTATATTGTATGTAGGTTACCTACCATGGTGGGTGTAGCACTCACACCCATAATGGAGATTACCCAACATTGGACCATGAATCATTCACAAATTCTAGAAGGCTGTTCCCATGGCAGCATGATGCTTTCAGGAGACATTCAGACACAAACCATAACAAACTCTAAAGTCTGGTTAGCTATTTGCTTCAATGGCAGCTGTGCCTTTAAGAACCAAGTGGCCAAATACAGTTTTACAAAGGAGATTATATTTAAACTGAAGTTGGTAAGGACTTCACTCTGCTTAGGAGAAGGAAGCAGAAGTGTGATCAAAAATAAGAAGGTGGTGGAGATTTCAGGAGAGGGAAGTTGTCAGGTGGAAGCTGCTTTCCTTATCCTTGGGTTACCCTCTGGGTTACTCTGACTTAAGTCAGTTTAGTAACAAGCCAAGCAGTAATGGTTGAGATCAGAGGAGTTCCAGAGTCCTTCTTGAACACAAAGGATTTGCTAATGCTATAGAAGATTTTTACTGCCAAAGTCCTAGTAAGTTTTTCTTCTAGCCATTAATGACCTCCAAACTTTCTTTTAAAAAATGTGTCTTGACTGTGAGAGAAGAGAACTAGGCCTTACAAGGAGGTGATCCCTGCCTAGAAATCAGCACCATGTGCAGGCTGCTTCCGGAGTGGGGACAGCCAGATCCACACCTCTCTCTGTGAGTCAGGGCCATTCACGGACTGTGGAGGGAAAGAACAAAGTCTCATTAGGAAGTGATCTTCACTTGGAAACCACATCATTTTCGGTTTTGTTGGGTTACGTTTTATTCTCTTTTGTTTTGCTTGATTATGGTAAATCTGATGGCAGGAGCGGCTATTTAAAAAATACCAACACATATTATGGTAGCCATTTTGGATTTACCATTGGCTTGTTTTGAAGTGTTTCATTGCATTCATTGTTTTGTTTTTATTGTTTTTGCTCTATTCTGTTCTGTTTGATTTTTACTGTGTCTGAAGGTAATCAGCAGCTATTTTGAAGACAACAGAAGACATTACGGTAACTATTGTTGATTTTGTAAGGTTTTGAAGTCCTGTATCATTTATACAGTTTATTTTGATTGATTTTATTCTGTTTTATTTTCCTTGGTTTTATCCTTTTTAAAATTAAAAAAAAATGTATCTTTACTTTTGTACAGTGAAAAGATCTCCTTAACTGTTTCTAAGTTCCACTGAAATCATTTTACCTGTCCTCAATCCTTTCTCCAGAAAAATGAGGTTAAAATGATCCCTATCGTTAGCCTGACTCTCTTCTTGTATATCCAGCTGCTGACTTGGTCCTGTATCTTCATTTAGACATCTAATGGGCATTTCGGACTCAACACACATGCTGTTCTCATCCTCTTCCTGACTACTGCATCCCCTGCTTCGCTCTCTCAATAGAGATTTCATCTTTCCGTGTGCTCAGATCCAAGGCCATGGAGGCACAGTCCATTTCTCTTCTCCTCACACGTTCTGCATTTGAACCGTCCAGAAGACTCTGTTGGTTTCACCTTCAAAATATATTCAGCACTGAGCCACTTCTCGTCACCTCTTTTGCAGCCTTCCTGACTAAGCCACTACTATTTTCCACCTGAACTGTTGCAAAAGCCTGTTTTTCCTGCTTAACTCTTGTTCTCTACAGGCTTTTCTCAGCAGAAGTTCACATGAATGGAATCATACAGTAAATACTTTTTGGGGTCTGGATTAATTCATCCAGTGTGTTCTTAGGCTCCTTTCTCGTAAGGTACATCAGAAGTTCATTTCCTTGTATTACACTACAGAATTTCATTATGTGGATATACTGTTGATTTATCTGTTCGCTTGTTGATATATGTTTGAGCTGTCTATTAATAAGGCTT